GTAGCCAGCCCGGGGCCGGGAGGGGGGCAGACAAGTTTCCCTGGTGGTGCCCAGAGTGGCCACTAGGGCAAGATGGAGAGGGCTAGCCTCCCACTAGTTTGAATTAAGTGGCTACACAGCCCTTAATTCGAACTAGTTAATTCAAACTAGGCATTAGTCCTCGTAGAATGAGGTTTACTTAGTTCGAATTAAGTGCTCCGCTAGTTCGAATTAAGTTCGAACTAGCGGTTTCCCTGTGTAGCGCCTATCAAAGTTAATTCGAACTAACGGCTGTTAGTTCGAATTAACATTGTAGTGTAGACATCCCCAGAAAGAGGAATTACTTGAGCGCAAAAAGCCCTCTCTTCTTATGATGTACTGTACATTTTCTTGCGCAAAAACGCACTTGTCGTGTGGACACTCCGTGAGTTGTTGCACAAAAACGGCCACTGCGTAGACATAGCCCACAAAGTTTAACATTTGATTTAATTCATACCCAGTTTGTGTTTGTCCCAGATGTTAACTAGCATCGACCGGGTTTAAGCCATTTCTCTTAATATTCCAACGTTATATTCTCTGCGTGGGTGCTTATATCGTTCAGTATGGCTGGCCCTGGGAAATCTGGGTGGATTTTGTTTTGGTTTTTAAAACGTTTGGATTTGTGTTCGGAAGATTTGGGAACATTCGCCCGTCTTGGAAGTATTTGACAGCCTGGCTTTTACAACAGGCCCCTGGTCCTTGCTGGATTGGAAGGAACCACCATTCTAAATCATTGCAGACTTATCCACCCCTAGTCAGCGTGTGACCCCTTAGGAGAATTCCTTCCTTCTTCACCTTTCTTGGATCAGGGCACGCTGGGGTCCCTCTCAGGGCGGCCTGGCTCAATGGAGGCTCTGCGTCCACTTGAGAGTTTAATGAGTAGCGGTGGCCGCGCTTTAATCGGAAAGCGGGGCCGCGGCACGAGTGCTGGGAGATCTCCCAGGGCTCTGTGTAAACTGCCTCCACAAGAGGAGTAGCTAACACTCCTGGGCACCCGTTTACACTGGCGCTGGCAGCGCTGTAACTTTCTGCCTTTAAGGGGCGGGGGGTTTCTCACACCCCAGAGCCAGACCGTTACACTGTTGTAAAGGGCCCAGGTAGACTTAGCCTAAGAACAGGGGAGCCAACAGCTTCTGCAGGCTCATGGGCAAGGTGGGTGCCTCTGCGCTCCCAGAAGGGCGGGGCCTTGTGTGAAAGGGGCGGGGCCC